TTGCAGCCGCCAGGCAGTGACCCATGGCCACCGCCAAGATCCCCAAGGGGCCCCACTCACAACCGCCAGCAGTCCACCCCCCGAGGCAACCCAAGCACCTCCAGAGGGGGGCAACGGCCCCCCAGCCCCAGATACCCCCAGTGAACCCACCTCCAGGGAACATCCGGATACTCCAAACTCAGACCCCACACCCCCCCACCCACACCATCCCGCAGGACAACATCAACGGCCCCCCACCCTCGCTATGTGATGGAACCGATCAAAGGAGCCCAGAGAGATTCATCTGAAGTGGAAGCAGAGGCTATATCAAGTGCAATATGATCTAACAAAAGATTTCTATACTGGTTAATGCAGAGACTTTCTCTATTTTTCCAATTCAAGAGGATAGTTTTCTTAGCGATGCATATGGCAGTCAGAACCACGTGAACCAAAGATGTTGCAATCGGGACATCGTCCAGCTTCCCCAGTAAACAAAGAGAGGGGGAAGTTGGGATATGACATTTCAGACATTTTGACAGATCCTCACATACTCCACCCCAAAATTCCTGGACAGGTGGACAGGACCACAGTGCATGAAAGTAATTGTCAGGAATGTTGTTTGTGCAGTGTGTACAGGTGTCAGACGACACAAACCCCATCTTGAACATCCAATGACCTGTATAGTGTACTCTGTGTAGAATTTTGTACTGAATTAATTGTAAATTGGGGTGTCTGATCATTTTACAAGTTTTTAAACAAGTTTGGGACCAGAAGTCCTGGTCAAAGCTAACTGATAGATCCACCTCCCATTTTTCAATAGGGATTGCAATTTTATCGTCTATTTTGGACAGTGTCTTATATACTTTAGACAGTAGTTTGGGGGGTTTGAGATTATAAAAGTCTAATACCCTTGGTGGTGTTTGTAATTCTATTTTATTCTGGATTCTCTGGATCCAGATGACCCAATGAATTATAGACCAATATCTAACCTTCCGTTTTTATCCAAAGTCCTGGAGAAAATAGTGGCCATCCAAGTATGTGAGCATTTAAACACTAATGCTCTGTTTGAGGAATTTCAGTCTGGTTTTAGAGAGTATCACAGTACTGAAACTGCATTAGTGAGAGTTACAAATGATATTCTCATGGCCTCAGATAAGAATCTTGTGTCTGTTCTAGTCTTGTTAGATCTCAGTGCTGCCTTTGACACAGTTGATCACAATGTTCTTTAAAGACTTGAACATGCTGTAGGGATCAAAGGAACAGCGCTAGGCTGGTTTAAATCCTACCTGTCTGACAGATTTCATTTTGTAAACGTACATGACAAATCGTCTTCATACTCCAGGGTTACTTGTGGATTACCCCAGGGCTCAGTGCTTGGACCAATTCTTTTTACTATACATATGCTTCCAATTGGTAAAATCATTAGACAGCATGGGATAAACTTCCACTGTTATGCTGACGATACTCAGTTATATTTATCCATTAACCCTGACGAACCTAATCGGATAGTTAGATTACAGGCTTGTCTTGAAGACATTAAAAAATTGGATGTCTCTAAACATTCTGCTTTTAAATCAAGACAAGACGGAAGTTCTCATCTTTGGACCAGAAATCCAGAAAAGGAAATTGCTTAGTCAATCACCTGACCTGAATGGCATTACATTAATCTCCGAGAACAAAGTAAGGAACCTTGGTGTTATCTTTGGCCTGGACGAGTCATTCAAATCCCAGGTTAAACAGGTTTGTAGGATTTACTTTTTCCACCTTCGGAATATTGCTAAGATTAGAAGCATCCTTTCCAGGAGTGATGCTGAAAAACTAGTTCATGCATTTATTACATCAAGACTGGATTACTGTAATTCATTACTCTCAGGAAGTCCACAGAATGTAGTTAAAAGTCTTCAGCTTGTCCAAAATGCTGCAGCTAGAGTTCTGATGAGAATTAAAAAGAGAGATCATATCTCTCCTGTCTTAGCTTCCCTACATTGGCTACCTGTTAAATTCAGAATAGATTTTAAGATCCTCCTTCTTACACATAAAGCTCTTAATAATCAAGCTCCATAATACATCAGTGACCTGATTGTTCCATATGTTCCTAACCGAGCACTTTGCTCTCAGACTGCAGGTTTACTGGTGGTTCCCAGAATATCTAAAAATAGGGTGGGAGGCAGATCTTTTAGCTATCAGGCTCCTCTCTTGTGGAACCAGCTCCCAGCTTTAGTCCGTGAGGCAGACACCTTGTCTACTTTTAAGACTAGGCTTAACCCTCTCAGGCTCAAAATAAGTTTTGATAAAAGGACGAACAACTAAGACCTTCAGGGGTACTTCTGAGTTAAAAATGCTAATGAAATACATATGTGGAGTAACCAGGTAGGTAGGTTTTAACGTTGCAAATCTGCAACACCTGCCTCCAGAGGGTTAAAACATTTTTATTTGATAGGGCTTATGGTTAAAATCTGATGTTAGCCTAGATCTGGACAAGTGGGGGAGTAGAGGGAGGTGGAGTGTACAGTCGGTAAAGATAGCTCTCCCTTGCCCTGCCTCCAACATGCCTCCATCTAAATAGGATAGATTATCCAGAGTTATCTCTGTAGTTATGCTGCTATAGGCTTAGACTGCTGGAGGACATACTCACCACTTTCCACACTCGACTACTTTCTTCTACAATTTGCTCTTTAACTGTATTATTTCCTGTTATTTCAGCTGTTAACTTTATTTTCTCTCCAAGTGTTTTTTATCCCCAGAAGAAGATACAATGATCTGCTGAGCTAGGGTGCCCACGTGGAGGGGGCCATCAGCTTGAACACTGTTGCTAACCACTTAAACATTCTCCCTCTCCTGATAACTTTTTACTTTCTTTGACATTGAATGTGCTACTACTAGTTTACCCGTTTAATTATAGATTCACTAGGATAAATACAATAAAGTTTATCTCTCACCAAATGGAATATTTACAAAGAAATCACAATGTAACCATAGAAACACTACTTGGTATATATGTTGTGTGAGTGGATGTGTGTTTGTGTGTGTGGGTGCACTGGTGTTGGCGTGTGCGTGAGTCTGCTCTGTCTTCTCGATCCCCAGTGAGTCGTGGTGGATGGCTGTTTATACTGAGCCAGGATCTTCTGGAGGTTTCTTCCTGTTAAAAGGGAGTTTTCTTCTCCACTGTCGCTGCATGCTTGCATAGTATGAGGATTGCTGTAAAGTTGCTGACACCGGTCAGTGATTTGATGCAATCTGCTGGGTTCCTTATATAGGAAACTTTTTACTGGCTGGCTTAATGAACTGACCTGTATTGGAATGCTTACTATGTGAAGTGCCTTGAGACGATTCTTGTCGTGATTTGGCGCTGTATAAATAAACTTGAATTGAATTGAATTATGTTAGAACATTGTTAAGAGGCATGAAAAAAAGGTTTTGATATAGGTTGTTTTGCAAATTTGCTATTGCAGCTTTAATTGTGCCAATTTTTCACATGCATGTTTGTCTGAGTTCGTCTGGATAAAAAACATTCTTTATCAGTTTACAAGATTTTCTACATGACACGTTCTAGGAAAAACATTCGTAAAACATCATTAATTTGGATGTGCATTCTGTCACTTCATCAAATGCTTATACACTTTAAATTAGGCATTAAATTAGTCATGAATTCCAACAAAGGCTCATTTGAGCTAATTTCTGTAGTTTTACGCAGATGTGAGATTTAAAGAGCAAGTCATCCCTTGCCAGATACTTACTCAACTCCCACTTCCTGTTTGAAAAAAACAACAAATGCTGTTGCTTAGCAGACCGAGAGGGCGGAGCCGCTAACAAATACACACACTCATGACATTGTGACATCATAATGTACCATCTAACATCACAGTGTACCTCTTAGCCAATAGTGATGGCAGATTTAAATTCAAATGCAGTGCTGAGTTTTTGCCTGACGACAGTGCATCGCTGACAGTTTTAGGCAGAATATTTAAATTTTAACTAAGATGCACTAAAGTGCCTAGTTATTGACTACATTTCTCTACAGCATAACCAGACACTCATTTATATAGTTTATCAACAAAAAAAATGTTGATTTGGAGTGACTTGCTCTTTAATAGCCTGCTGAATTAAACAGAAGATGAGTCCGGCAGGCCAGGCTAGATATTTAAACCTCTTTGACTCTAATAACAAAAGTAAATCAATCAGTTAGCTTTATTTTGTTTGTTCACTTGTTCATGAATCCAACTTAAAAATTGTATGACCATTTAAAAAAATCAGCACAAAATTATTTTATTCTGATTAATACAAAATACTGAGAGACAAAAAGCATGAAACAGAAAGATAGCAAATTATTATCATCATCATAATATATTAATATAAAGTTTTAGTGCACGATGCCTTGTCTGAAGAAATCCAGTTGGATATCCTAATTAGTAAGTAAGTAAATGTATTTATATAGCACTCAGACAGAAAATCACTAAGTGCTTCACATAGATCAAAACAAAACAAATCATAAAGTCATAAAATCAAAATGATCTTAAAACAAATTCAAATCAGTAAAACAATGTCTACCATAAAATAACATTGTTTTAATACCATAAAACAAAGGAATGATGATCACAAATTCAAGTAAAAAATAAGCACCATTTTGATGGTCAATCAATTGATTTATAAAGATGCTAGTTTATGCTTGATTATTTTAAAGTGTGGGATGTATCAATCTACCATGAATATGGAAACATTTCCCCTAGACTTATATTATAAATAGTTTATCACAGAGGGTTAAAAGAAGAGAATATTGTTCTTTTCCCTCTTCATAAGTGTTTGGTCATTTTGTCCTAATGTGAGAACATGTGTCCAAAATTAGTTATAATTATTTCTTTTAATAATATAACCAGTTTTAGTTAAAAACAAAAAAAAGCTGAGGTAGTTTAATTCAAATGTATTTTGTTTCTCTGGATTACTTTCGTTTAGTGGGAGAAAGAAGACACTTTTCTACTAACTATTACTCAACAATAAAAGTGAAATGGTTCATGAATCTGTACCAGTTGTTATGTTCAGGGCCATTCCTTGTGATGGACTCGGCCCTTCTTCTTCTCCCTCTTTTCTTTCTGCAGCCGCTCGAGCTCGGCTTCATACATCATCTCCTGGATCAGATACTTTTCCCTGCGCATTCGGTCCCGCAGGTCCTTGGGAAGGTCGGGGATCAGGTAAGCAATCAGGGTCTTGATGGCAAAGACCATGTGCTGCAGAAACAGAGAGAAAATATCTCTTTAACCAGAATAAACTGTGTGGGTTATCTCTACGGGAAACTGTTGGTGTTTGACATCCAATCCAGCTTTAATTGTTTGAACTAAAATACCTCTTGTGAATTTGTCAGTACCCCAAAAAAAAATCAACACAAGCATGGAGACAAAAGACAAACTCCATTTGAACGGCTGCAGGATTCCAACTGCAGCGCCATGCAGCCAAGGAAAACTGCATTGAGTGTGGACCACTTAAACCCACACGCACGCACGCACACCCACACACGCACACACGCACACACACACACACACACACACACACACACACACACACACACACACACACACACACACACACACACACACACACACACACACACACACACACATGTAAACATTGTAAATTAAGCCCCTTCTCAGATCCTACTATGCAATAAATACATCCACCTGTAGCAAGGTTTAATCAAACCAACAGTTTTAAGTGACAAAATAAAAAGATTGGGACTGCTGAAGATGTTTTACTCAAGTCTGTGCATTAGTCAGTGATTAGTGAGACAATAAACCTTAGTCAGGTCATGCTTCAGCAGCAGAAAATAGAAGAAGACAGTCTCCACACTCGTGTTCTATTTTTTTAGCACCCCTGATTAATTGGTAGTGCTTTGTGATAAAATGAGCGAAATCCAGAACATCATGCAGACAGGCTCTGAGGGGTGAAGGCAGAAGGCTCACAAAACCAGAACACCAGAAATCCTGTCAGGTGTCATTTATCCAATTTCAAATCACTGACCTCAAAAACGATTATGAATGCCAGCCGGGCTGCCAGGACGTGCCAGAACTGCAGAGTGTAGGAGTAGGGCTCGGCTGAGTCTGGAGGCTCTCTGTAGTCACGGTACCTGGAGTGTGGTGGGAAGAGGTGCAGTGGAACATTTTCACAAGCTTTGTAACTGCATGTTTTTATGGCTTGGTGCCATGGTTTCGTAAAGTTCCATTCTGTTCTTGAGAAATATAAAAAGTCTGATTCACCCAAAAGTTGTTAAGGTTTTAACCCCACACTACCTGCAGAACCTCACTGCTTCTTCAAACATGTCTGAACCATTAGTCCTGGGCTGAGATCTCCTCTCAAAATCAGACACTCTGAAGATGGACAAACTGGCGTTGACATATCCCATCATGCATCTGAGGAAAACAATGTAAAGTACATTTAATCAACACACCTACAGTCCTGGTCAAAAGTCAGAGAATTACATGTCTTTACAAAGTTTTCTGCTTCAGTGCTCCTTGATCTTTCTGCTAGATGTTTCTATTGGAACTGAATTAGAAATTTGCTTATTTCATGGTTTTCAAATACATGAAGTTTATACAGTGAGTCACATTTTGACGTTCACCTAATCGACCAGTAAAGGACAGACCAACATCACTTTACATCAAATATTACATTTACCTGATTAACCTTGTATCTCAGACCTTTGTGGAAGATTCATCAAATCAGGGCTACAAGAAATGTTGATGATCCACGATCATCAAACACTGGTGTAAAATATTCCAAGTCTCACAACAGAAATAATCCTGAGTGATGGGATGGCACCAGAGATAGACTGAAGGATTGAGGCTTTCTCAGCAATAATGAGGATATTGATTTGGTCTGTGATGGTGAAGGAGCTGAGGCCGAAAGAAAAGTTTAACTGCTTTGTTCACGTTTGAACACTCATCTATGGTCACAAGGTTTGGATCTAAACTGGAGGAAAGGAATATCTTGAGACAATCCACTAAAATTATCTTCCCCTGCAGAGTGGCCAGAGTTAGCTCTAGAGGAAAGGCGAGGAGCTCTGGGAGGAGACCAGAGAGCTGATTCAGAAATTAAAAGATGGTAATGTCTAGGAACCCCTCAGAAGGAGCAAAGAAGATTTCTTAACTTCCTTCCTGCATTCTGACTATGGACAAGGAGGAGAAAATAGATTGTTTTTGTTCTCTTGGCCACTTAATTCATGGCTTTAATTCTATTATATGATGCTCCACTATACTGCAAATGTTAATCACTGCTGTTGGATGTTTGGGAGGAGTCCCTCTGGGAGGATGGTTAGGTACCATTCTTTATCAATGGCTGATCTAAAGCTAAAATGTGAGTGAGTACACTTCTTCAACTGAGAAGGAGCACTCAGAAAGACTTATCAATTAATTGTAAGTCGCCTGATCCCGGAGGAAGTATGATCATTGCTTGTGTCATTCCCCAAGCCTAAAATACGATCTAGGATTAATTACACATGAAACAGGAAAATACTCTGTCATTTCTCACCCTTCTGCAGATTGGCTCTGACCAGCACAAGGTCCATACTTGTAGGCGTAAACGAGACGAGGGATGAAATCCGAGGTAACAGCAATGACAAAGGCGTTGGTGATGACAGACAAGATGCCAATTCCTTCCAGAATCCCATACCAGATTCCTGATGGAAGCAGTGATTAGGCAGGAAAATAAATGTACAGGAGGAAATGTTTATTTCCGTACCTATGTCTTTGGCCTGTGATGGCAGAGGTCGGCGCCACTGTGTGACAAACTTGTAGGCGTCTAGACGGATCTCAATGATGTTGTTGATCAACGCCAAGAGAGGAGCCAGAGGGAACGCTGCTACAAAGATGGTGGTGAAGCCAAACTGTAAAACTGGGGCAAAGAAACAAGCCATCAGCTACATGATTGAGGTCACTTCAGTCTGAACTTTGACCTAATCACAAGCATTTTCTGCCTTAAAGCCACACTTGTGTTTCTGTCCAGCTGCAGTTAAATTTGTTGTAATTGTGTGTTTAGGTCTCTTTTATCTGTAAAGACTGTTGATTATTGTGTATCATTCATCACAGAACAATAAGAATGGAAGGAACAGATAGACACACCATTCTCAAACCACTCCACTGAAGGTCTTCATAACAATTACAGAGCAAGGACAGCAGCGGTGGAACAAAGCTGTGCTCAGGAAGATTACTGCATCATATACACGAGTTATCACAACGTCCACTAAATATTAAAATGATGTAGGAAAGAGCACCAAGAGACAACATACTCATCTTCAAGTATTCATCAAAAAGTCCGTAGGCGTTTGCAGGCTGCAGGTGGAAGTCCTTCTCCCACTGAGGCAGATTGGCCATGGTGTGGTGGCCGTGCTCTCTCCTCAGCTTCCGTCGAGTCCACCAGTTCTGGACGAGTCTGACGAAGCAACACAACTCAGTTTATTGTTTACAGCAAGTTGTTGAGGAATGCAATAAACATAAATTTAATATTTTTTGCAAATGTGAACTACTGGGTGTGAACTGTTGCCACTGGTCACAAGCATTTCAAGCTATGTCATTGATGTGCAAATGATGGCGGTCCAAGTAGGAAAACTGCTCTGAACGAAACATTTTCAGAGGAAATAAACACAACAGGACAAAATCTGAAGTGTAACTTGTGATAGGAAACACTGCAAGGCTGTATGAACACCTGATGTTTAGCCATTCCTCCCTTACTTTACATAACTGGGTGCTTCCCCCTCCACACGCCCTCCACTCCCAGGACATAAATGTTGAAAACACAATGAGTGGATGATGATTGGAAGGAAGAATATGCTCTCATAATTATCTTTCATGATTTTCTGTATTTCAGGTCAAATGTATGTAAAAGGAATATCCCAAAATATGAATGACTATAATTGACAATGACTGTTAAGTGCTGGTCTAATGGAGTTTCAAACAGAATTATTTTGTCCAATAAAACGACTGTATGGTAAAGTAAATAAACAGGATACAGTGGATATTTGCTAGCTAGCTATACAGACATTCATTAAATGAGATTCTGCATTAAAGATCAAGTTTACTAATATCTTTAGTAGATTTGCAGCAGTCTCTAGTTGGACTGGATGCCTTGTAAGTTGTTCTCTGGGGAGAAAAAAAATCTCAGATGCTCCTGATGGAGGACGTAGAGATCAGCTGGAGGTGAAAGTAGTTTCAGATGGCAGGATTTGGAGTATTATTTCCTAATTTTCTGACATCTCAGCTCTGATTGGCTAACAGCAACATAACTCTGACTCTATTAGCTATTCAATTTTGATGTTTTATCTCTACAAATAAAACAAGCCTGAAGGAGCTCTGCCATGTTGTGGAGTTGCTAATGCTAATGTTAGCTTCTACCACCCTAGATGTTCTCTGCTGTTTCCTGGATGCTAAACCAACAACAGTCTTCTCCGTCATGAGTCGTCATGATTGAGTCCCATGCAATTTCAATGACAGTGTGACGTAGATCAGTCATGATTTTAAAATCCTAAAGTTTCACCGGCTATTTTCTATCAGACGCTAATGCAGGAAATATGGGTAGAAGACTAGTTTCATGTTCAGCCTGCTGGGTTAAACTGAGTGATCATTTAAAAAAATAACAAGAAAAAAAGTTTTCTCAGGGAACCTGCTCTTTATGCACTAACCAATGAACATAGGGTGGAAAGAGAAGCTGTGTGTAATTAATCGACCCACTAGAATGTCTAAAGGTGGTAATTTCTCAACAGGCAATGCTTGGATTGGTGCACACAAGTAAGGGTGATTCGACATTTCAAAACTAAGTTAAACTTACGGGTACCCAAGCTCCATGAAGTTGTTCCATGTCTGTTTAAGCACCATGATGATGCCCATCTGCATGCAGAGGTCAATGAGGCAGCCACTGGGGTGGCACTGCAGCAGAAACATGAAGATGGGGTCATTGGGTGTACTTGGCATTAGCAGTCACGTTTTGTTAGAACACATGCTTTAGTGTGTAGGAACCCAATAAACATCATTTACTGTCACCCATGAACAAAATACACTTTATTATATTATTGTTAATCATCTTTACAGTTTTATGCATCCTTACAAAAGCGTATCAACAAAAATAACTTTCTCTATGAAAATAAAAATCCATAGCAACAAAAGGCTAAGTGCAGCTACACTTGTGCTGCTCGTGTCAATTAGTTATTTATTTTTCTTCCATTTCTGCAGCTGCAGAAACAAAAAAATGAATCCATTAGCTCTTCAGCTAAAAGTGTCAGCTCAGGCTTCTCGTCCCTATGGACCACTTTAGTGTGTTTATTCCTTGGATGTTCCCAGACGTACCGCTTACAGCCGATGGCAGAAAAAAAATCTTGTTGGAGGCAACAAAGTTGTTTTGTTGTTTCTCTTTAATTCATTGTTTATCATTAATTTTACAAGAAAATTAAAGTTTTCACCTCCTCCAGTTTCCAGCGGTTGATGAGGCGTAGATATGCTCCCGGTCGGCCTGTGAATCTGTCAACAGAAAGAGAATGCACACAGTAGTGCAGTGGGTGTGTTATAAAGCATTAAAGCAGGAGCCTTACAAAGTCTACCTGGTAGAAAAGGTGACACATCTGGTTTCTTGTAAAAAGTTGTTTGTTAAAGAGGAACTAGGCAGTTTGGGCTTGCTTGTAGTACCCCCTAGTGTTCCATTAGTGAAACCAAAAGTTAAACGTATGTCCTTGCTGTGAGATCGTCTTTTAACACCTTATTCTAACAGCTGAAATGTCTCCTCAGCCTTCATTAGTGTCCACAGGAGAGTTTGCCACTAAATCAAACAAATCAGCTGTGTTCATGATCTAAAACATGCAGGGAACGTGCTGGAAGCAGACTGCAGCTCCAGCTATGTCAGCTCTACTTTACTAAGTCTAACAGAGACTAGACCTGCACTCTGAAGTTGCAAGTGCGGTGGCCTGGCCAAAGAGGGCGGTGAGGGTCTGAGTGACATTTCACTAACCCTTTAAAGGGTCATTTTAGCAAATACTGCCTCAAGAAAATTGAAAATATGAAAAAAAAATTGCATAGTGTAGCTTTAAAATATGCATAAATAATCAACTAAACACCCTTTGTGTCATTTAGAAATATTGGTACAACACCAACCAATGTTTATAATGCAACATCACTGATGCTTCCCACCTGGGCTTTACTGAACTAAAACTTATTGGATTTACGTTAATTTATTGTTTTCATAAAATTGTTGCTCACAAAAAGGCCGTTGCTCTCAAATCTTTATCTGTCTTGCTGCTACAGGCATCTATTGCATCAGAAAGCACAACTGTATCATTTCTCCTGTGTTACATCTATTAGTGAGGTGTGCATTATTCCCCCTACCTTCCCAGAAAAAAGGCAATGTAGAAAGTTGAGCTGTTGAGGTTGACAAACTGAAAAAGGAACATCTTGAAGGTGAAACTATTCTCCCACTCAGACTCTGTTCTTGGCTGCTCTGTGGCCGACCAAAAGGATAAAGAGAAGTTACCACATGATCAGATTCATACAGGAACACAGGAAATACTCTTTCATTAGATACACAAGTTTCCTTTAGTCTAATAACAACAACATATTTATGTCAATCTATTTAACACGGGTGCAGCATCTTACCCAAATTTGTGAGCAGAAGAGCAACTTTTTCATAAAGCTGTCAAAAAAAAACTTGGTTGAAAAGTTTCAGTAAAAGCAGGTTGAGATTCTTTTTCGGTGTGAATTCAGCTACTCTTATTTTTACTGCAGTAGCTCTGATTTCTTTTGTCGCTGCAGAAGTTGAAACTCACCACGTTGAGGAGCATGATGACACAGAAGTTGATGCAGACGGCCGTGCCCGTGGTGGCGACCTGAGAGTTGTTCCTGATGAGCGCCCAGCCGAAGGCGGCGAAGGTGCTGACGGTGATAACGCGGTAAATCACAATACCGAACACAGCTGCAATCACCACCAGAATCTGTAAAATGGAAAAATACCCTCTTACTTATACACAAACCCCATTTTTACAATATGAACAAACAGTTCAATTTGAGTTTTTTCATGCAAAACTTCAAATTATTGTTAAATAAATGTACTTTTATACCTGATTCCATCATGCATCACAAACAGGATCATTTATTCAAAATAATTTAAATAAACATGACCTTCATTTTAACTATGTGAAACTCACCATGAAGAATATCCCAGATGCTGAGACAAGGAGGCGACTGTATTTGTCGGTGAAGGCCTGGTACGGCTCAGGTTTCCCAGATATGGGATTCATCCTCTCCTTCTTGGAGTATTTGGCCTCAAACTGGGGTCGTACTTCATCCTGAGGTCCAGCGAAGTGAAACAAAAAGTGTAATTCCATTCTGATAAGGTTATTATTTTGTTGATCTGAAAGAACTCAACACATTTGTTGTTTTAACAGAATTTAATTTAACTGAGTAAACTTTCTGCATTTCAACAGAATAGGTGTGTTTATTCAACATTTGTATTTCAGACCAGTTAAACACAGTTCTATTAGACAAATGTCATATGACCTGAACTACAATGAAATGCAGGAACTTAAATTCAGATTTGACTTGTGTTGTTTTTTTTCAGAAAGAGCGGACCCGCTGACTGAGACCATGAAGAAACATTTTACCTCCTCCTCCTCCCAGTCGATCAGATCCCAGTCGTAAGCGAGGACAGCCCTGCGTCTTTTCCAGAACTCTAGGAAGACTGTTGCTGCAAAGCAGGACAAAGTAAAACGGGTTAACGGGATCTCTAATTACCCTCTGGGATTAATAAAGTATCTTTGAATTGAATTTGAATTGAATTAGCGTGCCTGAGTTATTTATTCCTGGGTTATAAAAAGTCACTTGGAGTCTTGGAGGTTTTAGATGGGCATCTCTCATCCCGATCCTGTCCCAGTCAACGTTCCAGCCTGCCTCCAGAGCCTTATCAGTGGCTCTTGTTGCAACCCCTTGAACCTTCTGCTCACCATTATGGACACTTTTAGTGCCTTTTGGATTTTTGCTTTTAGATTTGGATAATTTCCAACCCTTTTGTGTGCAGCACTTTGAGGCAACAGGTGTTGCAACTGAAATGTGCTATAGAAGTGCATTTTGACTTAACTTGACAAGATGAAGACACAATTTTTACAAATAGCGTCGCTATGTTTCAGATCTTTTAAAATGACTGATGAACAAAGAAAGTACAGAACGTACATTAGGCTGATGCATTAATGAGAAGGAATGATTTTTGTTTTTACATGTAATGATCTTAATCAGTAAAACATTTCAAATGTTAATTTATGGTAACACCAGATTAAAGAGTCCAGAGGGACGTGTTTGAGGTTATAAACGAGTGTTTTTCAGGCTTGAGGATTTGGGATTTGGGAAGGGTTTGAAATAGCTTCAGCTATTTTTTCTAATATTTGTGTTTCAGATGAGATTTTTTTCATCTGATTATGTAAACAAAACTGACATTCATTCATTTATTCATTTTAGAGCACATGTTGAAAAATAGATTTTTTATGTCTAAGGTCATTATAATTTATGCATGAATATGTAAAATTAGGCAATAATTAGCTATTAGAATATGGTAAAAATTTGTAAAGATAAAATAATGGAGAAGCTGGATTCTAAAAAAAAACTCAGGAAGACCTTAAGAAATTCTGGAGAAATTTCTTGGAAGGAAATCATGATTTAAAATATTTGAAGAGTATTTTAATGTAACTACAACAAGTTTGTAACAGAAGAGCATTCAACTAAAACACCAAACACCAGAAATTGCATCAGATTTACATTAAAGTGAAATCAGAGCATTTCTGGGTTTAACTGCCAGAGCAAATAAACATAACTGGTGTGTTTTTGGCATGATTCATGATTTCTTCCTCCAGAGCTGGTGGTGAGGCTCAGAGAGGCAGAACAAAGTCCTCAGATAGCTTACTTATTGGACTCAGTGCTAATCAGTGGCCTTTATCCTCTTTTTGAAACCACTCAGTTTGCTCATTATCACTGTTGTGTCCACATTCCCGTGGAACACACAGCAGGCTGAGATGTTTGGAGTGTGGAGGCTCAGCTGTCTGCATGGGGAGCCAACAGGGGAGCATTCTTCTGAAAAGCACAATGAGAGGATCTGCACCGATTTCCTGCTGCTGGTGAAGATTTCTCATTAGGACACAAACAGCACCGACAGGCACGGACTGTAAGGTCAGTATTTACATTATTTCCATCTGAATGTTTTACAGAAACCTAAAATAGTTTCTCTGTACAGACTTTGATGTGTCTGTGCAGCTGTGAAAACAACTTTTGTCTTTTTTTGTCAAGGGTTTAAAAATCAAAACAGGCTGGGCCAATCCCTTCACACCGGTCTCACACGAGCACGTATTTATTTACAGTACTTTAGTTCTTTTTTAACCTGAATTAGTCCTGAGAAATGTTCTTTGTGTCATACATTTTAGTAGCAAAATTATTATGTATTTCATTCAAACAGTTTATTTTCTCATTATGTTGTTACTTAAAGCATTTATCTTTTTAAAGCTTGTTCACCGTTTTTTTTGTGTGTTGACCACGAGTCAGTAGGACTTCATAAACCCTCATATTATCTTAAATATCTACTAAATGTAAGCTAGATTGACTTAGTTATGACATTTAGCAAAACGAGTAGCAGAGTTTCAATTCCAAGACCTCAGATTTGATTTAATTTTAATTATTAATTGTTCTTACTTTGGAGAAGCTGGACCTCATAAATAGAGCTTTGTTTTTCATCAACAAACTGTTTATTTTCAATCAATCAATCAATCAGTCAACCAGCCAATCAATCAATGAATCAATCAAAGAAACTTTATTTATATAGTGCCTTCCACTGCCTTTATGGAAGCCCAACACATGCAAAATAACAGGTTAATCAATAAAAGAGACAATTAAAATACAATCACAAGGCAGTCATACAAACGATGAAGAGGAAAATAGATCCGGCAGTCATCCGCATATAAATGAAACTTAAAATCATGCTGGCATAGGAGGACCTCCCGGGGTAGAGCTGGGCGATATGACCTAAAATCAATATCACGGTATATTGAGGATTTCACCTCCACAACGATAAATGGATGATAACTAAAAGTATGCACAAAAACAAAGGTTGTCCACTAGATAAGGCTGTCACATGTATTACATTGAGTCACATTTTTACGTGACTCAAGGTGGTACAGCTTCTTATGGGGACATGAACGTTGCCAACCTACACACATCTTTTCATTTTTTGATTATCAAATTTATTGACATGGGAAACATTATCTCGATAAAAAGTTGGGCGTTTTGATAACATTTCTGACTCTGTTACCCAGGGGCAACAGAGAGCAAATGAGAGGGGCCAAGAACGGAACCCTGTGGCACCCCCCACTACAGTTCCTCCCATTGTGATTAAGGCTTGTCAAGTCCTGCACTCTTTCGTGCCTTCCCACTTGAGAGGGATAAACATCCACCCAGAGTTGCGAAACTGGATTTCGCTCAGAGACTGAAACGATGCTTTACTTTTTGCTTTTATGTTTATTTTTCAGCATGTCACCTCGGGTCAGGTTACACCTGGTAAAGTTACACCTCAGAGTGGTGCATCACCTTTATTGTCCCTGTGGAACCCCTTCTGCTGAAGGTGGTTCCTACTATGAAAAAAATAAAGGAAAATCCAAGCTTGACTTGACAGGACTTCACCCACCATGACACAGAACCTCCTATTCTGAAGTCCGCAACTATTGTAGAACAACACAACTGAACTGTTGACTGTGTCAAAAGCCACTATTCAGTCTAATAACAATAGGACCACAGCTGCAACCTGATCTCTAGCTAAATAGATATCATTTTAAACCAGCAGCAACAGGGTGGTGTTCCTGATTGAAACACCTCAAACATATCAGATCGATCTAGAAAGGCCACCAACAGCTGATATTTTACTTGTTTACTGAGAACCTCATTAGCTCCCACCTTAGTGCGCAGTGCAGAGCTATTCTTCCTGAGGTCTCCTACATTTTAATTACAAACTTTTACCCCCCCCCAAGAGCAAAAATCATAAAATCTAGGATTTGCATTCCATGCAACCATGGCTCTGTACAGCATACTCATGTTCTGCAGTACTCATGTACCTCGTGTGAGGTAGGGTTATGATTATCTTATAAACATTACAGCTTATCATAATTATTCTAGGTATTTTAGCGGTAATTTTGTTTCTTATGAATGTTATCTGATGTCCAAATCAAATTCAGTCTGTTTTGAGAGACGAAGATGAAAGACAAACTGCCTCGACCCATCACCTCCCTGCCACGGAGCAGAAATCCATGAAAAAGTGTCACGTTTTTGAGGGATGTTAGAACCCAAAATGCAGAACCCAGGATGACACAAGGCAGGAGTGGATATGAAGAAAAAATCCTTTTATTGTAGGATAAACAGAATTAAATCCAAAAAAAAAAAAGGCAGGGAGCCAAAATCCAAAAATCCAGAACATGAGAACCAAAGCCCACTTAGAGCACAAACTGGGGACGGGACAGGAAGCTCACACAGAGCACCAAAACAACACTGAACAAACAACAATGAACCGACCAGACAATGAGAAACAGACAGGACTTTATAGACTGGGGCATAATGGGAGGCAGATGAGCTGCAGGTGTGTGGGGAGAGAACCAGGTGAAGGCAATAACTAATCAGGGAGGAGGAGCAGGAAGGAACAGGGGAGGACACCGGACCTGGCTGGAGAAGAACACACACACACACACACACACACACACACACACACACACACACACACACACACACACAAAGCTGGGGACAAAGAGGCTGGAGCTACAACTGGAGGGGCTGGGGATGACCTGAAAGACTACAAACAGAAGGCACATAAATAAGACGCAGACAAAGGACACATGAGGGCGCTAAGAGGGGAATCTAAAGAGGGATGGAGGACATCAGGAGACACATGGGGAAAGACGCAGACACAGACCATGACAAAAAGGATCCCCGACCAAGACCCGAGTACAGATACTGTTCAGAAAGGCAACATTCATGTTAGAAATAGTACATTTTTTTAAATTCATCTGGCAAACTGAATTAGGAGTCTACATCAAGAGTCACTATAATCATTAAAATAATAATAACAATAATAATAATAATAATAATAAAAATTAGATCAATTAAATAACTAGTTTAATTTGAGTTTCAAATTTTTGAATCAATCACATTCTAATTTACTGAGATTAATTAGTACATTAGTTGTGAGGATGAACAACTTTCTAGAAAGTTTGCTCCATTTGTTGTTTCTTAGAGCTTTTATCAGTTGTTGAAATGTTTTAATTCTGTTGTGGGGAATTAAACCTTTTATTTGAATGACAATTAAAGTACATATTTGACCTTTTTGTCCTAGCCTGATCAAAGGCTAACAAGGAGGAGTATCAGGGCTCTGTGATGGAGTCCATGCAGAATTCCAGCTTCTCTCGGATAGAGATCACCTTCTGGTCATCATCTGGTATGGTTACACTCATAAAAACTGCGTTTTGCTTTTTCTTCAACTTTTATTTCAAACAAACAAACCCAAACTATTTTTGTTTAGCCTCATTTCCCAGTATTGTATTTTAGATGTTGACCTTTTAAAATGGACCAAACACGTACAAAATATAATTTCTTGCATTGTAACTTTTACAGAGGTTGATTTTACATCTTCTTGTAGAAAAAGGTGTGAGTGTTGTGAGCTTTTTCAGTAGAGTGGGCCATTCCAGGTCAACAATTTCTCACACATCTTTCAACAAACTGAAGATATTTAGTCAACATTGTTTACAAAATCATGGCGTCATTATTACTCTACTTCACAGTCACATCAACCCTTTTTGCTGTGTTGCTGAGCTGAAGGCACTTTGTATCAAACAGTTTAAAGGTGTGGGGAAACCCGTTGAGTCAACACATTTGTAATGGTCTCCAGTAATAATGAAAGCCTTGTAAGTCGTACTCAGGGAAAAAAATATACCGGTGCACCATTTCTAGGAACTAGAAGTTGCTCTTATCACAAATGAGGTTCAGACAGGAGGTTTTGGCACAGAAATCATGTGCATAGACGCCCTGTGGACTGGCGCTGCCTATTAAACCTGCTGTAGTGGCCGGCCACCACCTTGGATGGGTCTCCATTTGTACCCAGTGTATTTATTTCTGCTGAGGAATGTGTTTACCTAAATAAAAGAACATTTTATCATGCTTTTGCACAAAATCAGACATATGGAATGGCATGATAGGCATAATATAATCATTATCCATTTTCCTCTGCTTATCCGGTGTTGGGTCGCAGGGGCAGCAGCCCAAGCAGGGAGGCCCAGACTTCCCTTTTCCCAGATACTTGGGCCGGCTTCTTCGGGGGAATCCCAAGGTATTCCTTGGCCAGCTGGGAGATATAGTCCCTCCACCGTGTCCTCGGTCTTCCTTTAGGTCTTTTCCCATTTGGACGTGCTCAGAAAACCTCCCCAGGGAGGAGGCCAGGAGGCATCCTGACCAGATGTCTGAGCCACCTCAACTGGCTCCTCTTGATGTGGAGGAGCAGCAGGTCTACTCCGAGCCTCTCCTGGATGACCCAGCTCCTCACCCTATCTCCAAGGGAGAGCCCAGACACCCTGCAAATAAAACATTTGGCCGCTTGTGTCTACAATCTTATTCTTTCGGTCATTATCCAAAGCTCGTAATCATAGGTGAGGGTAGGAATGCAGTTTGATCGGTAAATCAAGAGCTTTGCCTTCTGGCTCAGCTCTTTTTTCATCACGACAGACCGGTACGACGCCCGCATCACTGCAGATGCAGCACCAATCCACCTGTCGATTTTGTGTTCCAGCTTTCCCTCACTCGTGACCTAGACCCCGAGATACTTAAACTTCTTCACTTGGGCAGGACCTCATCCCTGACCTGGAGAAGGCCTGCTACTCCTTTCAGAATCAGAATCAGAATCAGAAGTTTTTTTTGCCATATGTGTGCCAAGTCACAACATTAGGAAATTGCTGCGGTATTTTGGTGCAGAAGGTAAGATAGAAAAAAATTAATTAAGAGATAAGCAAATATAAGAACTAATAAAACACTCATGATAAAATTATTAATGTAAAAAGTGGCAAGAATTAGAGAAGCAGCTATCTACTCCGTGTCTGTATTTATCTGAGTTCAATCTTTCCGATTGAAGACCATAGTCTCGGATTTAGAGGAGCTGATTCTCATCCCAGCTGCTTCACACTCGGCTGCGAACCGCTCCATTGAGAGCCAGAGCTCACGTTCTGATGAAGCCAACATGACCACATCATCAGCAAAAGGCAGAGGCTCAATCCTTAGGCCCCCCAAATGGTTCCCCTCAACACCTTTGTTACCATACAGTCTGTTTTCAATAGTACGCCGATTGTTGCAGCCTGTATAAAAACGGCCAAGTTGCTCACCCTGCATTGACTCCAGTTGGGCTTGGAGAGTGAGGGACCCATCCAATATGGCAGTGATGTTGTTATGCTCTCCAGCGCCCAATGAGGCGTCTAAGTGGTTCTGTCCGTGGATTTTGGAATCTTATTTTCTGATATTTGGGCATCTCACCTCTGACATCTCGACAAATAACACAAACCTAGAGGAATTTAGCTGTGTGATGAAGTTGCTAATGCTAATGGTTAGCTTCTACTAGTCGAGATGTTCTCTGCTGTTTCCTGGACGTTAAAAAAACAACCTCGTCATGAGCCAAGATGGGTGAGTCCATAAATGTTAAATGACAGCGTGATGTAGATCTGTCAGGCATTTCAAATTCTAGCGTTTAACCATCAGAAACTATTGCAGGAGATAGGTGTAGGAGACTATTTTCATGTTCAGCCTGCATGAAAAATTCTGAGTGACTGATTATTATGTGAAATAAGCATTAAAAAAATTATTTTCAGGGTTCCACATCTTTAAAAAAGTGAAACCTGATTTAAAAATAAAACACAAAATTTGTTTAACTTTTAATGTCTCAATGTTTGAATTAAAATTCTCCACAATGTGTCAACTTTCCTGTTGAGCCTGCTCATATTCTCATAGTCTTTATTAGAAGAGCTTTGAAATGTATAAATGTAATTGTCCAGAGTAGGATTCAGACCCAGTCTTGTTCCAATTCACCGTTAAACATTTATGAGGGGGAAACAGATTGGATGTCCTCTGGAGGGAGGACATTGTCCCAGCGCATGAATTATTAATACAGCGAGGCACTGCTTTTAGTATGGGTTTAGTTTTATTTTGTTTATCCACACTGGATATGAAGTATTCATCTACAGGTCGAACCCTTCTGCCTGTTCTCACCCTCAACAGTTAACAATGCCATTGTTGTGCTGGGCGTGCTGACCTTTGCCCTGCAGCTGTGTCTCCTTCTGCTCTTCATGCTGAGATGCTGGAGGTTTGACAACAGAGTTAAGGAGGCTCTGAAACACCCCGGCACCTTTATGAAGCTGAACAGTGAGCACTTTTTTACATCCGTTCATTTTACTAATTAGACAACTAATTATATTTTAGATTATAGAAAATGTGGTGCTCAGTTGTAAATATTTTAGTTGAATTTGTTAAGAATCTTTATATTAATTTGCTCCAAACCTTTCAAATGTACTGTAAATTAAAAACTGATTTCTTTTCTTTACAGAGCTGCATTGTAACCTTTACAAACAGCCTACCTGTTGGCATTGTGCTGATGCTGCTGGAGCTTCTTACCTTACCTCCTATACCACGGAGGATGAATATGATCGCTCTGATCCTCCACTTGCTCCTTCTATACCCTGGGACCTTGTTCAGAGCTGAGCAGCTTTAGGAACTTTAAACCTGATTTATGATTAAACTTTTTGTGGCATCAGTTTATCAACATAAAGTGTGCTTAGTGCGTATGTAGTCTATGGTTGTGCCAAATCATAACAAAATGACTGTTGTGAATTAATGAACTGTCCGAGAAATCACATTTTAATTTTAATTTTAATGAAACTATTATTAAAGACTTTCCTTCTCATTCCACAAAACATCAGTAAGGATTGGAGATCAAGGGCAAAACACACTGACACTGTGCACATGATGCACAGAAATTACACCTTCACATTTTTCCAAGATGTCCCCCCAGCACCCGTCCCCACCTCCCACCATCACACACTGTAGAGCATCTGGAAAATAATTTCTATTTCTGAACATCAGTGTTGCTGAGAACACACACAGTTATATTTTGGTAGTCTGCATTTAATAGTGTGGTAAAATAATTTGTGCTCATATGTCTCATATCGCTCTTTGTTTTCAAGCTAAACCAAGTCGTTTTATTGAAGGGTCACAATATTGTTCCATTATTGTAGCTTTTACACACACACACACACACACACACACACACACACACACACACACACACACACACACACACACACACACACACACACACACACACACACACACACACACACACACTATATATATATATATGTGTGTGTGTATATATATATATATATATATATATATATATATATATATATATATATATATATATATATATATATATATGATTTAATAGCTTATTCTTATGAAGAATTTCCCATTTTACCATAAGAATATTGACAATTTTATTTGGATTTTAGCTCTTCATTGAGAAAGTGTTTTCAGTACTCACAGGCTTTTATTGTTTGTAAATTCAGCCCTGGTGTTTGTCAATAGCAAAATTAGAAATGACACATTTAGTTCCTTTGCTCCTTTCATAATGCTGCTACTGCTTTTGAATCTTTCTTAAACTTAAATATATGCTTTTTTAATTATTTTTATTTTTTTTAAAGAGTTTTCTAATATTTTTCCAATTGGATTTAGTTCGTTGCTGTAAATCACTTTGTTTTTCACCCATTCGAAGTGCCTTATAAATAAAGTTTGAGTGATCGAGATTCAAATCTTGTCCAAACAAGTAAGTGTTTCCAGGCAAAAGTCACATAAAATAAATGTGTTAAAAAGTTTTGCAGCTCAACTGCTTGATAGAGCATCTTTTAGTCACTTTATCTTCATGAAATCTGCACTGAACTTAAAATCTACAGAATATACAAAAAATATAGACTTTTTAAAACTCAGTTAAAAAAACACAATTATGGTATTTCATAAAAACATCTAATGACCAATTAGAGCTAAATATCTTTAAACATTCATTAGTATATAAACATACAGCAGAAAAGTGAGAACTATGTGAATCAAAAAGACAACATACAGACTACGACCCCTTGTATTGAAGTGGAAATAACATGGCTTGAAACATATAGGAGCCAGCCACCAGGGGGCGCTCATTTGTATTAGCTTCAACTTTCAGGCTCGATTAAGAACGAAATAGCTAACCATTAGAAATTCATCACTAGTACTAATCCTCACATATTGGACCAGCTTAAATTTTAACATATTTTAGGTATTTTCTTTAACTTCCAGCTGATAAATCCAGCTGAACGTTGATATTTTAGGAAATAGAATGATGTAACAAAAACTCACCCCAAACTGCCATAAATACAGCAAAGAAAACTGTTGCTCCATTGTCAAACAGATGGGTCACCTTAATCAAAGACAGGGCATTGTTGAGGCAAATGTCTAAGTTTGAGAAAATGTCTAATTTGCTACGAGTGTACCTTTGCATAGATGCAGCTGTCTGACAGTCTCAGGTAGGGGCAGTACTGGTCACAAATGGGGCACATGATGATGTCAGTAGCCTGGCAAATTTCTTTGCTGGAGAAACACCAAGTAGGAAAAAAAATCATTGACAGTACCCCGATATCCCATATCTCATGTCCTTTAGCCAATAAAACATGTTGTTCACCTGTTTGGGGAGTAGAGGGGAGCAGAAAACGGCAGAATTTGGAGTCTTGTCTCCTGATATTTCAACATCGTTCCTCTGATTGGCTAACAGCAATGTGGCTCTACCACTGACTTCTTTTGCTATGCAATATTGATGTTTTATGTCTACAAAGAACTCCAGCCTGGAGGAGTTCTGCTCTGTGGTGAAGTTGCTAATGGTGAGCTTCTGCAAGCCAAGACGTTCTCTGCTGTTTGCTGGACGCTAATACAACAACAGCCTTGCCCATCGTGAGTCAAGATGGGTGAGTCCATGAATGTTGATCTTCATTGTGACGTAGATCTGAGTGGCTTTACAAATCTGAGCACTTGCTTGTCTTTTTTCTATTGGGGGCTAATGCAGAAAATGGAGGTAGAAGACTATTTTCAGTTTTCGCCTGAATGTTAAACTCCGAGTGATCGATCATATTTAAAAAATAACAAGTAAAACAGTTAAGCCAAAACAGTGACCAGAAACCTACCAGTTTAAAAAAAACTAGTAAAAGTATAGTTGTCATATCTACCAGAAGAAGCTTGCTGATGCCTGCAAAGACTGTTTAGTTTAGGTGAGGTTTGCTAAAAGACCTTTCATCACATTTCAGTCAGTGTGTACCGTATTTTCCAGAGTATAAGCCGCTACTTTTCCCACGCTTTGAACGCGGCTTATAATGAGGTGTGGCTTTAAAAGGATGGATGCTGGAAAGGAGTGCTACGGAAAGCGCCCTGGAGGATTTTTTCACAGTAAAACGGCGCTGCGTGTTTTCACCGCTTCACCCTGGGATGATGACAGCAACACGGAGAGCGACACTGACAGTTAAACTACGTTTTCAATTCAGTAGATATCTGCGGCCTTTAGCCTGATGCGGCTTTTATTGAAGTGCGCTCTAAAGTCCGGAAATTACGGTAATTTATACATGAGAATGTCTGTTTACCTTCACCCATTTGTGGAAGAGATAAAAGGTGCAATAAAGTGAAATGCACTTTCTATTCTTGATTAAAAAATATACAGGTTGTATGCTGAATAATAAATCCACCCTTAAACAAGAATCCTATTCATCCCATAAGAAACCATGATTGCTCTTAAAGAATGGATGTGAAACAGCAGTGGGTTCAACAAGGCTTTTTCATCCTTACAAAAGCAGAATACACCCAAAAGCCTCAGAAGATTGTTCACTCATGAAAACCAAATCAAGCCAAACAGAGAGGCAATGTTTACCTGACTGGGCAGTGCTCCAGAGTAAAAACCCCATACAGGAATACGAGCAGGCCAACAACAGCTGCAGGAAACAGCATCCCCGTGTACCAGCCCAGCCACGCGAAGTACAGACCAATCTTCTCCCCAAAATACCTCCTGCAAACAAACAAAAGAACACAAGTGCATTCGTCATCGTTCTGAAAATCATGCATTTGATAAGTCAAAACCACTTGTCTTCAAACTAACACAAGACTTATCAATATTCAGTTTTGCTGTTGATTTCTTTCTTATTTTTATTTATTTATTTCATTTTTGCAAAGACTGGTCTGTAACTGTGATATTGGTTTCATCTCTGGACCATTAACAGGTCTATGACCCAGGACAAACCCTGCAACCATTGTCATGTCTCACCAAAGTCTTCTTTACATAATGTTGGTAAGACTTTGATATCAGCTTTTTGGTGCAACACTGCAGGTTTAACAGGCGTCAGCAGCTGAATGCATCGAAGACAAATTTGAAAACAGCACTTTTGGAAAATCTTTGGACTAGCTGATATCCTTCCTCTCCCCACTATTCGAGGAGACGTCCTGGAGCTTAGAAAAGTAAAATAGCTGGGTCTGTGGAGATGTGACATCACCGCAATGTGATTGGATGTTGGTTCTAATTAAGCATCATATGAGTTGGTCCATGACTGAAATCAATATGATGGTTACAGATGGTCAATGTGACGTAAAATATGAGCAGCACCTGATGAGGTCCAGCGGTTGGTACTTGTACCAGACCCCCCACCAGGCCCAGCATTCATACAGCAGGTGCCGATGGTTCTCCGCTCCATGCGTTCTGATGGAGTTCTTGCTGTGATACCAACCCTGTTGGAGGCATGACACAGACGTCTAACCTACTCGATGTAGAAACTCTAAATGAAAAACCCACTGATTATTTCCAGCAGGAATCCACGGTTTAAAACAGGAGGTGGAAGTGAGTTGGTGAATCTCTTTGAGGGAAGATCAGCCTAATTACCTCATGAAGAGGGAAAGCTGCCTCATACGAGTTGTTGCTCAAAAGACGATTGAGCCCTGCAGTCAGAGATGAGAGGAAACACACATCAGATGTATGTTGCTGAAAGTCAAGCAGGATGTGACAAACTGGCACTCGTACTTTTATAGAAAAAGCAAACAGGGCTAGATTTGACACATTAATTACAGGAAGTATAAAATTTGAGCATGTCATGAGAGCAAAGGCAAAGCACACCGCAGGGATCAAAGAGCTACAAAAGTGAAGAGATTCTTACATTAAACACTAAATGGTAAATGGAAAAAAAAAACATGAATGTTATTTTTTTATCTTATTCTATATTTTTACTTGTCTTGTTTAAACGTTTCCTGCACCCAAAACAACACAGAGCCAAACTGACCCATTTTATTTTTCCCTTCTTCGTATTTGACCCGCTGAAGGATGTGGTGGATGATACGACTTCTAGTGGCGTTGTTAAAAAATGTTTCTTTGTTGTGGATGATGAAACTGCAATAAAAGGAATGAATGGGACAATCAGTGGTGTGTGACTGATATTTGAGGCTGTTTATTTTTAAACGTAAGAGAAGAGATGAAAACTCACTGATGGATCCTCGACCGACTGAAGGGGGCAGTAAAGCTTTCATTCTCCTCCAGGTAGGGCAGAGTGTTGCTGTCAAATTTCATGGGTTTGCGAGGAAGCCATCCTCGAAACTGGTTGATGCGCTTCTCCATCCTGCAAGAGAAGCTCGTATTATTGATGCAACAGTGAATCATAGCTCTGAAAATTTGCAACTGTTTTTACTATTCAAATGAAGACTAGGCAGTTTTAGCTTGCTTTCAGCACCCCCTAGTGTTCATTTAGTAGAACTAAAAGCAAAACTTATCTCCCCGCTGTGTGCTCGTCTTTTTGACACCTTAATCTAACAGCAAAAATGTCTGCCAACCTTCATTAGTGTCTACAGGAGTGATTCATCACTAAATTAAACAAATCAGCTGTGTTCATGATCTAAAACAAGCAGGAAACGTGCAGGCACTCCAAAGTTGCAAGTGTGGTATTCTGGCCACAGAAGACGGTGAGGGTCTGAGTGACATTTCATTAACCCTTTAAAGGGTCCTTTTAGCACATACTGGCTCAAGAAGTTTATTTTAAAATATGAAATAGTTGCAAAGCATGCCTTTAACCAACCGGCTCAAAAACTTGTGCCTTCGATGCATGTAGAAGATCTTCCTCCTGAGAATGATTGAAATAAAGAATTTAGAACAAAACAAATAACAAGACAACAGGTTTGCAATGCTAAAACAGCTTTGATTCAGTTTTCCTGATGTCAGAATTGACATTACTAAAGCGGGAGCTCTACGAAAATACATAAAAACAAACTGGAGACAAATAGGCATACAGGTCGCATCACCCTGCTTTTATTTTGGTACATAGACATGTCACTTAGAGTTTGCACGTATATGTAGATGCAGACGATTATGAGTAGATTTTAAATATTTATGTTTGTTTAATGTTAATTCTAAATGTTTATGTTCACCTTCATGATTAGAAGCTAAATTTGGTCCAATATGTCTGTCTCTATCTTGACCGGTGCAAATTTCTCCAGCCTTAACCGATTGCTAGGTTTCTCACGAACACTGATGTCATATCACCCCCATCCTTGCCAGTCTACACTGGATTCCAGAGCAATACAGGATTACATTTTGGTGGTGGTCGGAGGGACCGGTGGCGCCAGTGCTTGGCAGCCTTGCCTCTGTCAGTTTGCCCCAGGGCAGCTGTGGCTACATTGTAGCTCGTCCCCACCAGTGTGTGAATGTGTGTGTGAATGGGTGAATGACTGATTGTATTGTAAAGCGCCTTGAGGGCTTCCAAGACTCTAGAAGGCGCTATATCAAATACAGGACATTTACCATTTACCGTTTTACATTCAAGATTCCAGCGATGGGGAATTGTGGCATCAATGAGTCATCTCTGCGCCGTGTTTTTCTTCAGTTCAGCAACTAAACCAGGTGATTTCGATCAGTGGAGGGAATGAACCTCGTTCAGTTGCTGAGCAGAACAAAATCATGGCATGGAGTTCACTTGTTGGTGCCACAGTTCTCATCTCTGCAAGATTCTCACCTTTTTCTATAACGCCCTAGCAGTTCTTCCCCTCCGTATCCTTAGCCTTACACCCCAGCCTGTTCAATTCGATCTGCTGACCTCAGCCTCCTCATGGTACCAAGGAGGTCCAACAAATCTCATGGGGATCAAGCTTTCTCTCACACAGCCCCCAACGCACTACCCCTGCACATCCAGAAGGCATAATCTCTAAATGAATTTAAAACACGACTAAAAACCCACTACTTCAGCATTGCTTTTGGCTCTCTCCCATCTGTTCCCTGTTATTGTAGCCTACTCTACACTTAGTCATGCTTTAATCTTTGGCTTTTAAATGTTCTTATTTATTATGTTATGATATTTTCCACTCTGTGGTCTGTCTTTGTCGTTTGTACTTGCCTAGACTTGACCACCACTTTTGTAACCTTTTAACTTTGTATGCACAGTGCTTTGATCAGCTGCAACACTGTTTTAAAACGTGCTCTGTAAATAAAAGATGGATGGATGGGTTTTCTGTATAGAAATCCCACTTTGCAGGACCTTTTTCAGCCATCACCGTTATTATCAAAGTCCTTTTCTAAGAAGAAACTGACCTTTTTGTGTTTTGGACCAAACACTATAAGAATAATTAATGTAAGCAAGTACAAATGGCAGAAGAAACTGCAGGGGTGAATATCTGTTGAGAGATATCTGAATCGGATCAAAAATTTCATCCAGCTGGGTATTTAGTTTTGTAGATGGTAAAACTGGAAAGGTGATGAGATAAAATTAAGAGTTCAGACTTCATTTGGGCAGTTTAAGTGGTTTTATGACCAACAGTGGGAATAAAATGTCATGCTGACCCAGACAAATGAAAGAAATGTCCACTGTTAACATCTTTCCCATTTGTGTCCCCGTGATGTTTTGTCTTTCACATAAATAGGAAGTGTAAAAGCCTACAAACAACTGATTGTTTCTGTTACACACTCAGCAGATCACCATCTAAGTCTCACCTGAAAGGCATGCGGATGTTCATGAGTTCTGCGTAGCGACAGAGGACATCCCATGGCGCGTGAAGCTTCAGGAAGATCACATCACTGTTTGTTAAGGAAGCCTGGAAGGTAAAGAAAAAACAAGATGAGGTCAAAATCACCGTCTTTTGTTCAAAAGTCTTACTTCTCATTATCCTGTGCTGACTGAGTGAGTGAGTGGGAGTCTGTTCAGAGAGTTAAAACTCAGGAGCACACTGCAAATAGACCTAAAATAACTGAATGACTCCATAGAAGAAACTCCCACAAGTGGGCTGTAGGTTGTCACCGTCTTACTCTACTGCTGTAAGTGAACATTATCTTCATGCTGCAGCATCCGAGAGTTAACACAGTTCAGGAAATATCCACATTTTTGTTTCTGCTTTCAGAAGCTCGAGAGCTAATCTAGTAGGGCCGTGCCATCCTGGGAAAAATCTGTATTATTCTGGACAACGGTGAAGCCCTGAATGTTTAACATGACTCCACATTTGGTTCAGAAACACAGTGCATGCAGCTAAAAGCTAACCGTTTGGTGTGGTTCGTCAAATTAAGAGTGTCACCCTAAACACACACACACACACACACACACACACACACACACACACACACACACACACACACACACACACACACACACACACACACACACACACACACACACACACACACACATACACACACAAGTTCTATTAAGTATAACCAGTGAAAGTCAGACATTGCTTTTTAACCCTTCCATTGACCGAAGGGTACCATCAGATTTGTCCACATCTGTAGAAGTCGTCTCTCGGTAGGACGCACAGTGTTCTATTATCTCTGTTTACTTACCAAAGATGTTTTTTTTCTCATTCAGTTGATTATTTTCTATGAAATGGGGGGACATTTTTTTGTTATCACCAATAGGTGTCATATTGTTCTTTTAGCAGATGTTTCTAATTATGTAAACCCTAAAATATCTTGAGTTCACATTATAAAATGAACCCAGATGGTTGATGTTAGTTGGCTTTCATCAGTCTATGCTTTCGTTCTTTTTTAAACACAGAAACAGTTTTGTTTACCTGTTTGTAGCTACAAACAGGTAAACAAAACTGTTTCTGTGTTTAAAAAAGAACGAAAGCATGGATTTACAAAGACACAGCAAGAACACACCTAAGATTTCATCAGTCTAGTTAACAAACTTTTGAATCCTCACAAATCAGGGTAACTAAGGACTCATTTTGAGTATCTGTTGATTTTGGACAACCTTGATGTTTCGCTGTGACGTAGTCTGTCTTAAAATGTGGACTTGGAAGGATGCGGCCCCTGGAATTAGCCAAAGCCACTAACTGGATTTACTGCACAAACCTAGCAGCAACAGTAGAGCCGATCATCAGAAGATCTTATGAAACACATGCTAAAAACACTCATTTGTAATTTGCACTGGAAAATACATGAAGATGAAAGACACAAGTTGGGCCTGTTTAATTCACCCATCAGCTCCAGAAGCTCCAGACTTCATGCTGGTCCAACATTCTGTATTTTCTTACATTTTTCAGAAGATAATGTAGAAGTCTGTAGTGTGTATGTGCTATTCTCATCATGTAAGTAATTCTTTACCTCTTTTTCCATGTGTAAGCCTTCGGCACGAATGTTACGCTCAAATACCTCCCTCTTCTCTGACTGGGAGCTGGACTTCCTGTAAACCAGGATGTAGTCTATACGGCTCTTCCCATCGCTGAAGCAAAGTTTAATGGATTTACTTTTACCCTAAGTAAAATAAACAAAAGAACAAAAATTCAGATTCATTTGACTTTTTTATTTTAAGACATACTAAAGTGGCACCAGTCACCTCTTGGATGCATGAATCAGACTTGGTGTTTTCATCAAGGATGCTGCTGTGGGTTCCAGGGTTCTGGAGGGTGGAGTCATCGTCTCTGGAGGAACTGCTGACACAATCTGACCTTTCCTTCTTCAGCAGCAGCTTCAAGTCTTTCACAGCTGAACAGAAGTTCACCAACAAAACAGATACAATTTTAGTGTTGTGATGAACAATTTTCCATCTGAAGTAAAAGATGTTTTTGTTCACTTTGCTCTCAGACAGCAGGTTTGGTTCCTAGAGCTTCTAAGTAGAACGGGAAGCAGAGCTTTCGGTACTCAGATTCATCTATTGTGAAACCAGTTCCCAGTTTCCATCCTTGAGGATTGAGACTAGTTTATGAAAAATGTCATATTTGTTTATCCCAGCTCATCCCTTTAGTTATGCTGCGATTGGTATAGACTGCTGGAGGACATACCGACCTCGGTTCCTCACTCTGCTGTCTGTACGCTCCATGTTTGCATTCAAAGCTTTTGCTGTCATTAACTTTGTTTATCTTCCACTGAAATGGCAGTTTGGTCCGTGTCTCCTTCCTGTCCTTTAGAGCCTGGTTCTGGTTCTGAAGGTAGAAGTAACTTTTACTTTCTACTGTCCCTCATTGTAATTTGCTGCTCACAATAAAGGATTGTGTTAAAGGTGTGAAACACTTGTTTAATCAATACATTTGTAGTGGTCTCTAGTAGGAACGAATGCCTTGTAAGTCGTACACAGGGAACAAAAAACACCGGTGCACCATTTCCAGGAACTAGAAGTGAGCCACATCACAGCTGAGATTCCGACAGAAGGTTTTGGAGCCTTATTTCCTGATCGTTGAACTGCTCGCCTCAGATCGGCTAACAGCAACGCGTCTCTACCACTGACTTGCAATGTGGACGTTTTATCTCCACAAGCCTGGAGGAGTTCTGCCAGGTGGTGAAGTAGCTAATGCCAACAATTAGCTTCTATAAGCCAAGATGTTTTTGCTGGTTCTTAGATGCTAAACCAACACCAGCCTTCTCCGTAGTGAGTCAAGATGTGTGAGTCTGTGAATGTTAAATGACAGTGTGATGTAGATCTGTCAGGATTTTCAAATCCTAGTTTCACTGTCTATTTTCTTTCAGAAGTTAATGCAGGAGATTGATGTAGGAGACTATTTTCCTGTTCAGCCTGCATGAAAAACTCAGAGTGACTGATTATGATAAGAAATATGATTTAAAAAATGTTTTTTCAGTGTCCCGCCCATTTGAAGTGAGATTAAAAACAATCTCCTGGTTTCCTTATCCTATCAAACTGAACTGAATGTGTAAGATCAAATGTAAACAAAGGGTGAAACAAGACTCCCATTTTTACTTGGGCATTATTTTGTCAGCTCAAACAACTTCAGAACAAATGCACACTTCATTGTGTAGCATCCATATTTACCTCTGTAATCACAGAGTGCTGAGAGTGACATCACGCCTCCTCTGGCCACCTCTGGGCTCCAGACTGTTTACGCTGGAGTCTGATGATTTTATTTAAATCATAAAAGAAACATCACACAGAAAAACTGGATCTTATCAAACAATTGGAGTGTGCATCAAGATCTGCAGTGTAAAATTATGAGACAGATCAGAACCTCATCTTTAGTAATGATGCTAAGGTCTGTGGCAGTGAAGAAGGAGCAGAGCTGAAAGGTAAAGCTCTCGGTTCACTGCTTCACCAAGTATCACGGCCAAAAGATTTGGATCCTGACCAAAGGATCTCAATACATCTTGGTTACAAGAAGCTATTAGGAGTCTCAGTTCTGCTTTTCCTCATTGAAAGGAGTCAGCTGAGGTGGCTCAGACATCTTCAGGATACCTCCTACCTCTGAAGAGGTTTTAGGGTGTCCCATGAACTCATGGATGTTTGAGTTTCCCTCCTGGATCAGTTGTTTCTGGGAGCTGATTTTGGATATGAGGCTTGAGAACAGCAACTCTAATGTAAAGCATGAACAAACAAGCCATCCATCCAGAAGGCATTCTACGCTTTTCCTTCTGAACAAACCACCTTTGACTGAAAAGTAAAATCACACCAACACAGCCTTTAACCAGACCTGGCAGAAGACATTTCAGTAAAAACCAAAAACAAGCTAGTTTTCACAGAAACACAATAAGATCTCCTCAATTCAATCACAAAATCACAAGACTGAGGATAATCAAAAACACATTTCAAGCCCAGCTGGTAATCCGTCTCACCTAGTGGAGGCACGTGGTCTTGAATGCTGGAGTCCAGAGCTTCAGCTGAGGACTCCTCCATGATGTCCCCCCTCTCCAAGTGCAGGATGGTGAGAGGTCTGTCAGCTGACTGGTAGCCAGACGTAGAGGGCTGCGCGAGCGCTCTGCGTCGGTGGGGGCTCTGCTGCTTGGGCTCAGATCCATGTAGAGATAAACTCACATCTACAAAACACATCAACAATCCTCAAGAGCTGCTGCTTCCTGTCCTCAGATGTTAAAATTATTGCTTCTCTCATTTTTATCTGGTGACATTTAGCGGTGAGCTTGCAGATTGCAACAAATTAGTTATTGCTCCTTTTTCCTTTAGTCTGATTTTCTTATCACATACACACAAAAAATGAAAGGAATGTAAATCAAAGGGAAGAGACAGTTTCATGGCCCAGATAAAGACTATGTTTATACTCCCAGTCTATTTAATTCAGTTGTCGATGGTTCCTTCTTTCCAGTATGCCACCAGTCTGTCACCACACACCTATCTAAGAGTAAGATGGTAATTACTCATAATTTTAACACAAATGTACATCTTCTCTGATCTTGACAACCCCTTTAATGGCTTCTATGTTCATAATAAAGAAAAACATTAAAAAAACTAAACTGTGGACCTTATTCACAAGAAGAAAAGCTAATTAAGTCCATTAATCAGTCATATTGATTTAAGTGGGGAGAGTTATTCAAAGCTTATCAAAACAACTTCAATAAACTCAAAGTAAATAAGTCTGAATTTTCTACTGTCAGTTCTCTGGAGGGAAGGATACTTAATGAGGATGCTGGCTGTCTCCGGGGTCTGCACTCTGAATTTTCATTTGTGACGGCAAAGGCGACTCAGCTGAATTTTTCTGCTGAGACGTCCTAAGAGGGACAGAGATAGACGGGGGAAGCAGCTTTAATCAGCTGTTGATGCTTCGGAACGCTGGAGCCCATGGATGCAGCTAATAGAAGGACAATAAACTCCCTGCTAGTGAAAAATGGAGCTCAGCATCGTTTTTCTTCACATGCCCACTATTCCATCTCTAAGTCACGGTAAAGAGTTCTGCATGATGCTCTGCTAGGATATAAATACGTCAACAAAATAAATTAATTAAACAAATGGATTCACAAACGGGCTGTGTAGTGGCGCAGTGGTTAGAGCTGTTGCTTTGCAGTGAGAAGGTCCTGGGTTTGCTTCCCGGCCTGGGATCTTTCTGCATGGAGTTAGCATGTTCTCCCTGTGCATGCGTGGGTTCTCTCCGGGTACTCCGGCTTCCTCCCACAGTCCAAAAACATGACTGTTAGGTTAATTGGTCTGTCTAAATCAGGGGTGTCAAACATGCGGCCCGCGGGCCGGATCCGGCCCGTGAGATGGTTGTGTAAACTTTATTTTCATACTTTACAATGTAGAGTGAAAATAAACTTTATCATTGTGAGCAAGTTTCCTCTGTAATGAGTATAAATAAAACAAAGCTGCGCTCAAGGCTCACACAAGAAGTTGAATCACATCCTGAAGTTGGCTGCCACTCAGGATGTGACTTCTGATATTGATGTGCTGGTGAAAGCTAAAAGATGTAAAGTAAAATGAGTCAAATATGCTTTAAGTGCTGCATGAAACTTATCTAGCCATGTGATCTGTAAGCTCTTTGAATCACTAAGGATTTTTTTTTTTCAATTTTTCAAGTACACTTCAGGTGTTGTACTAGTACTACACTGTCCTCAGGCTCTAGCCTTGTTTTATATTGATTGTATTAAAACAAAGAAAACAATCTGAAGTTTTTTTTTAATTTAGCCCCTGAGCTAAAATGAGTTTGACACCCCTGGTCTGAATTGTCCTTAGGTGTGTGTGTGTGTGTGTGTGTGTGTGTGTGTGTGTGTGTGTGTGTGTGTGTGTGTGTGTGTGTGTGTGTGTGTGTGTGTGTGTGTGTGTGTGTGTGTGTGTGATTGTTTGTCCTGTGTGTCTCTGTGTTGCCCGGCGATGGACTGGCTCTCTGTCCGGGGTGTACCCCACCTGATTGCCCAATGACTGCTGGAAATAGGCACCAGCCCCCGTGCGACCCTACGTGGACAAAGCGGGTTCATCCAATGGATGGATGGATTCACAATTATTCAAAATGACATATTAAGATAGCAGAAATGTGTTCAAGCAACATTAAAGAGTTTTTAACATTATAAGCTATTGCTTTCAAACTGGTTTTAGTGGTTGTAGAGGTAGAAAATGGACCAACTTAGGATTGCACCGCACTCTGCAGCCCTCAGCTGACCAGAAACCACATTTAACCGTTAAGTGACACGGGTAGGTCCACTAAGAGGAGCTCTCTACCTTTACAGCTGTTAACTCTTTACTCTAGTAGCTATATAAAGGCTAGCAGTTTGCTTTTTCACTTCTCCAACCCTTAGTAAAAAACCACAAGAAGAAGAAGAAAAAGAAGAATTTTGTTTTTGTGGTCAACATCATGGTGAGTCCAAGAGCTAAGACCAAAGTGAACATCGGCACAGCCTTCCTCATTTGAGGAAGGAGGCTACAACATCACAGACTGATGATGATCATGGCTTTGTGTCAACTGGAATTGTAAGTAATGTGTTTAGTTCAAAAGTGTGGATCTTTTTACTTCCTGGCTGTCTGTTTGTGTTAGTGTTAGCTTGTTGTTAGCACTGAGGGACTTAAAACCTTTCTACTGGTTTCTTATCAGCTATTTACAAAGATGAGTAACCATCACAACTGCGGTAAATGTTAGTAGCAGGGATAGCAAAATCTTTAATCTTCAATATATTAAAAAAATGCTGTAAAAAATAATGGTAACAATGAAAAAACACAACATAAACACACCAAAACCATACACAAATAGAATAAGACTAGGGCACCCAAAAGACATTATATCAGCAGGACACAAGTGTGGAGTTATGTACAAAATCCTTAAACTATGCAATAAAACATCGGAGAAACCAGACGCCAACTCAGCACACGAACACTTGAACAGAGAAAAGAATGTGACAAAGAAACAAGCCATCGGTGAGGGGAGCATGGGCAGCAGAGGGCGACATCATACTCTGCTACCCGAGGATAAGTGGAGAAGGAAGTGACTCCAACAACATCGGTGAGCTCTGAGGAAGGCTACAGCATAAGCCAAAACATCAGCAAAAATAAGGTAAAACTACTCTTTATTGTGTTGAAAATATAAACATGTTGTTGCACCAAACCCAGCCTCTGACAGAAGACACTCTTGAGTACTTTTGTGTCTCTGTTTTTTCTCTAGCTTCCTCTTTACCTGACGGCTAGAAGAAAAAAAAACAGGCAAGAGGGGGAGGTGAGTGGCCTGGCAAGCCAGACTAAATAAATGTATTATTTAACTTAAATTTAACACAAACTTTGCATAGCAAGAATTTGGTCTAGTTCAATAGGCTAGGAGGTGAGGGGAGCACCAGCATCTCCTGAAGTGATTTACAGAACAACGGCGAACGTTCACAAGTGATTAAGAATGCTAGGTGAAAACAACGGTGCCAAACAGCGGCTCTCTGGTAGATCGGGGGGGGGGGGGGGGGGGGGGGGGGGGGGGCAAATGGCGGCTCTCTGGGAGTAGTGTTATGGTGAATGGTAATGGTAAATGGCCTGCATTTGATATAGCGTCTTCTAGAGTCCTGGAACCCCCACCCCCAGGCGCTTTACAACACAACCAGTCATTCACCCATTCACACATTCATACAAAGGTGGGGATGAGCTACGATGTAGCCACAGCTGCCCTGGGGCGCACTGACAGAGGCGAGACTGCCGAGCACTGGCGCTGCCGGTCCCTCCGACCACCACAAGCAGGCAACGTGGGTTAAGTGTCTTGCCCAAGGACACAACGACAGCGACAGACTGAGCGGGGCTCAAACCTGCAACCTTCTGATTACGGGGCAAGCACTTAACTCCTGTGCCACCGTCGCCCCAAATGTTAAGATGAAAATGCATTCTGTTGACACAACAGAAATGATCATCCAGGCACAAGGATTCAGAAAAGATGAGGCACAAATGTAAATATGCTAATATCTTGTTTAATCACTTTACATCTCCAATGACTCTGTGTGTTATGGACATTGGTTGCTTCAAGATGAAGATTGTGTATGGTGGCCCAGATGGTTCAACAACATGAAGAAACAAAAATAAAAGCCGCAATCCTTAAAACCACATTACAACAACAGCTTTAAAATGGAATTATTATTGAAACATAATTGAAAACACAAAAATAAAACAATGTAGTAATCAACTGGAACTTCTGCTAAACAGAAGTTATGCTAACTACTGAAACAGCTCTTCTTAGGGTCTCTAATGACCTTCTGACTCACAGTGACGCAGGGGACTGTTCTGTTCTGGTCCTGCTGGACCTGACTGCAGCCTTTGACACTGTTGACCATCATCTGCTACTGGAGAGGCTGAGAGACTGGGTAGGCCTATCAGGAACTGCTCTGGAGTGGTTCTCCTCTTATCTTTCTGAGCGCTCCTTTTCTGTGGCCGTCTCCAAGTTTAGGTCCTCCACCACCTCCCTTAACCATGGTGTCCCACAAGGTTCTGTGCTGGGGCCTCTTCTTCCTCTATCTGCTTCCTCTTCAGCACATCCTGAGCTCGTTCAAAGGAATCTCTTACCATCTTTATGCAGATGACATCCAACTGTACATCTCCTTTAAGCCCCATGAGATGTCTAAGCTGCAGCTGTTACACACCTGCTTAGACTCTGTCAAAACCTGGATGGCTGGGAGCTTTCTTCAGCTGAATGAAGATAAGACTGAGATCCTCATCTGTGCCCCAGACAAGCTGGTTCCCAAAGTCAGAGACTCTCTTGGTCAGCTTGCTTCTCACACCAAACCTTCTGTCAGGAATCTTGGCGTGACCTTTGACCAAGCTCTCATCCTGGATTCTCATGTCAGTTCTCTTGTTTGCTCTTCCTTCTTCCATCTCAGGAACATTGCTAAGCTGAGTCCCATTCTGTCTTGCTCTGAACTTGAGACAGTTATCCACACCTTCATCTCCTCACACTTAAGACTACTGTAACTCTCTTTTCACGTGTCTGAGCAGAACCTCCCTGAACTGTCTACAGATGGTTCAGAATGCCAGTGCTCGGCTTCTGACCAAATCCTCCAAACACACCCACATCACCCCGCTTCTCCTCGAGCTTCACTGGCTGCCAGTCAACTTCAGGGTTCATTTCAAGATCCTG